CCCGCCTGCGCTGCCGCCGTCGATGCAGAGGCGGGAGGGGTCTGCCAGGCCCTGGTCCGCCAGGTGCAGGGCCGCGTTGCAGCAGTCGTCGACGTCGACGATGCCCCAGGAACCCTGTGTGTGTTTTGTTTGTTTGCACATGTGTGAGTGTGTGCATGTATGTGTGCATATGTATATGTTTGTGTGTGTCTGTGTGTGTGTGTGTGTGTGCGCGCGTGTGTGTGCGTGTGTGCGTGTGTGGTGAGCATGCGTTCACGCCCGCGTGGTAATGTCCCATACACCCACGCCACCCTTCCTTTGCACGCACTCTGTGCGCTATGCTGCGCATGTCACCATACGCACGCCCTCGACGCGTGCGTGTCCCTGCGCGGTGCCGCGCCGGGCGCGTGGATCACCTTGAGCCTCTCCCTGTACGCGCGCCCGAAGCCCGTGCTGCCGCCATAGTTGACGTCGGCGATAGCATAGCCTGGACGGGGCGGGGCGGCCAGCAAGCCACGGAGGGCGCGGGGGCGCGGCCGAGGGGCGTGCGGAAAGAGGGAGGGTGGCGGCGACGCGGGGCGTCTTGCGACAAAAGTGCGGGGGGGGGGGGCAAGCACAGGGGCAGTCGGAGGCGGCTCTCAATCGACGCGCGGCTGTGCGCGTCTTAAGGGCTGCCACAGAGGAGGCTGGCTGGGTGTGGGGTGAAGCGGGGACCCTTTGTCACGTCGCGATGCATTTCTGAGCTTTGTGCCCGGCACGGTGGCCTGGCTCAAGTGGTGTCAGCGGAGTGCCGCTCCTCACCTCGGGATGTCCAGAACTGGTATGAGAAGCTGAGGAGTGTTGAAGCGGCAGAGGTGGGGCCTGGGACAGGCGTTGGGGAAACATGGGTTTGTTTGTGCTTGGTCGTGTGTGTGTGTGTGTGTGTCCGTGTGCGTGTGTGTCCGTGTGCGTGTGTGTCCGTGTGCGTGTGTGTGTGTTCTTGCATTTGAGGGTGTAAGGTGGAACGGGGTGGGTAAACTCCCAAAAAGCTGGTGCTGCCCGGGCAGCATCGCCACGGGGGTGTGCTGGGCAGCTGTTGCCTTGCGGTCATGGGTTGAGATTGTTGAGTGCACGTTTGTGCGGGGTGGCGCACAGGTACGAGCACAGGCCCACATGCTTTGCATCGCAGTGCATTCCACTCCTTGAAGGGGTGCATGAACCGCCACAGGACTATCATAGTGTAATATCACACATGCGCACGCGCGCGCACGCACGCACGCACGCACACACACACACACACACACACACACACACACGCTGGAACCCGCGGATGCTGATTTAAGCTGTCTCAACAATACGTGCGTATTCGAATGTGTCCTCACCGCCATGGATCTTGACCAGCAGGGCGGGCAGCTGCCCAGGCGGCAGTGTGAAGTCCTTGTTCTTGGGGGGGTAATAATTCATGAAGGCCGTGAGGCCACCTAGATTGTTGCAAGTGGGGAGGGGAAAGTGAGCTGAAGCAGAACGAGAGAACACGACTGGCGCTGCGTGCATGCGTCCGTGCGTGCGTCTGTCTGCAACAGCCCTGGGACGCTGAGAAGACGTGAGAGTGCATGGCTGGAACAGGGCGTATCACATGCCGTCATCACCTGTTGTGGGGAACTCTATGGCTTGGGGCGATGACAGGTAACCCTCATCCAGCTGATGACATCACCACCGCATGCGCGTTTGCACACCGAGAGGGGATTGATAGCAGGAGGTGGTCAGCGGACAAAGCGCGCCGTGGCGGCCGCATGCTTATGCGGCTTTGTTTGAGCGGCAAGGTCGGTGACAGGGCAGGCTGCAAGAGAGTGTCGCATCTGGGGTGGGTGGTGGTGGGGGGGGGGAGAGAGGAGGGGGGCCCGAAACGCAAGGCTCTTGCAATTCGAGGGGCTGCATGCTGCCCGTGTGCACACACAGTCTCTAAGTGAGTGTCCCACGCGTCCCCCCATGGCCCGCACCTCCACATCAGTGCTGGCCTTGATGACGGACCAGTCACCAGGCTTGCTGGCCAGCAGCCCCTCAACACCGTTGACCTGGCAGGTTCCAGTGTCAAGGGGGAAGGGGAAGATTTTTGGGGGGAGGGGGATGAAGAGGTTGACAATGGGGGGTGGGAGGCGGAGGGTAAGCGGGCGCAGAAAGGAGAGGGGAAGAGGTGGTGTTGGCGGCTCAGGCGCGGATGGTCGCAAAGCATGCCTGCAACGAACACCTGCGAGCAAGCCTGGGCCGCCGTCCAGCAGCTTGGCAGGCGTGCCCACTGTTGTGAGGCAGGGCTGCGCCACGCAGTGCAGAAGAGCCACGCTTATAGATTCACTCGAAAAAAACCAGGGGATTAGAGGGAAAATGCTAGCCCCAACATCTTTCACAGACAACCCCACGCACCTGCAGCAGCCTCACTGCGTTCGCCTTGGTCGGCGAACCCGCAGCCACCACCAGCGTCAGCTTGCCCTCAACCTCGGCCACCGAGATCGCAAACCTGCCGGAAAGGCCAGAGTCCAAGGGATGCAGCTTTCCCTCGGAAACATCAACAACTCCAAGGTTTGCACCGGCGGATCCTGGGTCGCTGTAGCCAGCCAGCAGGTAGTGCTTCGACGGGTCCGAGGTTGAGGCGGGGAGGGGGAGGTACGTCTTGAGCCCGAGGGTCCAAGGGGGGCTGCCGAACTCGGCCGTCATCGGCAGCACGGCGGTGATCTGGGGTGGCGAAGGGCGGGGGTCGGGGTGGGAGCTGCACAACAAAGTCTTTTCAGAAAGCGATGGAGTCCATTTCAAGGAAACAAGCCCTCACATCCGATACTCATGAGTCCGACCCCCCCCCTCGCCACACACACACACCCATTTGCTGGCCCCACACCCCGCGGCCCCGCCGCACGCGCGCCGCAAAGCCGGGCAAAGTAAATGGTCAGCCCGCACCTCCCCAGAGGGTGACTGCTTGTAGAGGTTCCACCTGTGCACGTGTGTGGTGGTGAGCGTGCGCACCAAGCCTTGATTGGATGCCTCAGGTGGAAGTGGCGG